TGTAATAGGAATAGTTGCATACTTGGAATACATAGCAGGCTATTCAGTGCAACTGGCCTATACTGCTGATTATGATCACACATTTCACTTACTGTACTTCAGGCTATCCTTTCAGTGTATGCTTACTTCCCTTTCTCCTTCATGTTTATCTAGATTCCCTTAAAATTCATCAGCGCTGTTCAGACCAACTACTCTGCAGTTTCAAATTCCATATTCTAATAATTCTAGGTCCAAATGATCAAAAAGAGGATATGTAGAGAAATACAAGTATTCTGTTTTAACTCAGGTATACAGATGTTGATAACGGAAAAGGAAATATGAATATTTTGCACAATGAAGTCATTTGAGTTCATGTAGTTGCTAGATTGTGGATTCTTAGAAAGAAATCAGTGCCTCACCTTTTTTTCTTATATATTTTGTTGTCATTTGTTCTGTATTTAGTTCAAAGTTTCTTGTAAGAATAGTACTTGTAATTCAGATGTAATTATAATTCAACTTGAGATGCTGAATGTTGGGAGGAGTACAAACAATTTGTATTTGTTGCAGTAAATGGATTTCTGCTGCTCATGTTTGGAAGTGTAAACTAATTTGTGATCATAGCAACTAGTGCTGTAATTTTCTGTAGTTGTGGCATACTCGTTAAAAGCATGGGTAAGAGGACCTGGAGGTTAGTATTATCTCCTCGACAGGAGGCTTCATCATTTTGCCAGATTTATTTCCCATCCTCCTCCTCTCATTTCCACACTGCACACTCACCTGAGAAAACAGTAGTGGCCTGCCACAAGATTTCTGCTGACAGTTTTTTTGATCTCTGTGCAGGAGGTGACTGACAGCAACATTTGATGACTTACCTTCCGATATTTGCCTGTTGTCACGTTTGCTTTCTGCCTGTATGATAGCTGAAATGGGAAGCTCATAGACTTATCATCTAGAGAATAGTGGGGAATGGTCCATTGGTTCTCAAGTTTTCAGATGCAAGGAACCAGAGTTCTGACATAAATTGATTTTAAAAAATTGTGAATTTACTGCATAAGCATTTTGTTTACAGTACCCGGTGACAACCCTGATTTTCCTTTCCTCCCAAATCCCAACTAATCTGATCAATCTGCACTTTAGCATAGCAGACTGAACATTGCATGTTGCTAGTCGTGAGGACCAAAATGCCATATAGACCCTTGGCTTCTCTAATGTTGGTATCAGTAATCAAGTGAAAATACTCAAATTCATTTATGATTGTTAATCAATATCAAAAATGTGTCCCTTGCAATTAATCTGATTATTGGCAATTGTAAAAGATGTATGTTTTGTCCATCATAAATTCGCTGAATGCTCTTTTGTTTTGATTCATGGGACTTAGCATTGCTGGCTGGCCATCATTTATTGCCTGTCCGTAGTTGCCTTTGAGAAGGTGGTAAATAAAAACCGAAAGAACTGCGGATGCTGTAAATCGAGAACAAAAACAAAGTTGCTGGAAAAGCTCAGCAGGTCTGGCAGCATCTGTGAAGGGAAAAACAAAGTTAACGTTTCGGGTCCGGTGACCCTTCCTCAGAACTCCTTTGTTTTTGAGAAGGTGGTGATGAGCTGCCTTCTTGACCTGTTGCAATTCACATTTTAGCTATTTTTCAATTGCTGGTATAAAATGTGTCAACCAAATTTGGTATGTTAGATTTTCATCATATGTATTTGCACATAAAAGCACTTTTTTAAACAATGGCTCACCATGTTGTTACGTTTACTCCAAAATAGAATTCGTACCTTTGATTATTTGTAAGTGTCCCTGCATCATGCCTGTTCATTACAAAATGATAACAATACCAACTTTATAGCACCCTGTACGATATGAAATGTACCAAAGTGCTTTGAAGGAGCATTTCAAAACAAAACATAACACTGAGCCATATAATGAAATATATCGGAATATCAAAAGCTTGGTCAGAATGGAAGGTTCATCTCTGTACCTCACTTTCCTTCTTTAAGTCAGAGTTGTAGGCAGGGAATTTTGGACAGCCATCAATGGTGAACCCACTGGTGGGATGCTTGAGATGCCAGAATTGGGTGAGTGTTGATATCTTGGAAGTTGCTGGGTTGGGAGATTAGAGATATAGTGCTGTGATGTTAAGGATGGATTTAAAAGTATCAATGGGAATTTTTAAATCGTGATGTTTCTTGACTGGAAGCTAACCTTATGAGACATTACGGAGAGAGTGATTAGCAAAGCATATGAGATTTTGTGCTTTGTAAATAGAGCTATTGACTTGCAAAATAGAAAACGTATGCCAAACCTTTATACGCTGTGGTTAGGCCATAGCTAGAGTGTTGCATCTAGTACCGATCAGTACGCTTTAGGACAGATATGAGACTCCTTCAGAAGGTGAAGATGAGACTTATCAGAATTTAAAACCTTTCCAATTATGGTGCAAAGACTAGGGACACTCTTTTAAGATTTTGAGTAAGAGATGCAGGAGGACATAAGGAAGAACATTTCTATACATTGAGTAATAATGACCTGTAATTTGCTTCCCATGGTGGCGGTGAGAGAGGAGACCATCCTTGAATGGGCATTTGTGGTAAGTAAACCTGCAGGATTGTGAGATGGAAAAGGAATTGATTGATTTCACATCAGCTTTCAATAGAGCAAGATGGCAGCAGTGCAAGATACTCCGGCTGGAGCTCCTCTGCTCCACATGTTCTTTTTTCCTTCCTTTTTCTTTTTCTCTTTTTTTTTTTTCCCTCCTTCCTGCTTTCCTATCAACTAATGTCATCGACTTAACCCAGAGGGGCATGGAGGAGTTGGTGAGCCCAAGAGACAAATCCCGGGGCTGCAAGGAATCGGGTCCCAGAGCAGAGGCCAGCAAGGGGAATTGAGTCCCAGAGAAAACCTACCTTGGAGCAGCTCAGAGCCAGTGCGGAGCAAACTGGAGGCTTGGAGCAGAGTGGGGATGGTTGTTGGACTGGGGTCTGGTGCAGGCAGTCAGACCATTTGTGGAAACCCCTACGCTTAGCTAGTGCAATGTAATGTTTATTTGTAATTTGTGATTACCTTTTTAACTATCTCTTATTTCTGTAAAGCAATGCAACTTTTTTTTTAATCTAAGATTTGTACCTAGGTACTTGTATCTAAGATGGCACCATAAAAGGTGACATTGTAAAACTTTTCACTGTACTCCTATACATCTGTACTTGAGTACATGTGACAATAAAGGATATTCTAATTCAAGGGTCCTTATGGCCTCCATCTGTGTCATAATGGTGCTTTAACAAGTAAATCAGCAATTATTGAAGAAGAGGGCTTGATGCCATTTAAGATTAGGGCAGCAGAGAGTTGGCTGACCTCAAATTTACAGAGGATAGACTGTGAGTCACCAACCACAAATGCATTGGAATAGTCAAGTGTAGAGGTTACAAAGACATGAAATTGGTTTCAGTAGCAGATGAATTGAAACAAGGCAAGGTTAGGTGATGTTGCAGACATAGAAATAATGATAGTCTTAGCAATGTGAGTATTTAGGCAGAAGCTCATCACAGGGACAAGTATGACACAAGACTGTGAATAAACAGTTGCCAGGAGAGAGTTGGAAACAAGGACCTAAAACAGTGGCTTTCAAACATAATTGAAGGAAACTTCTGCTCATGAGGTCCTGGACATCAGACAAGCTGTCTGATTGTTTATCAATAGTAATCAAAAGAGGTGATGATAAGGTGGGACTAGTGGTATGGACAGTGTAACTGTGAAAACTAAAACCGTGCTTTGATTGTGGATGCAAAGTGCAGCATTAGGTAAGAAGTAGGAAGGAACCAAAGATAGATTCTTGAGAGAGACCAGAGGTAATGCTTTGCAAACGAGTAGAAAAGCCATTTCAGTCTGACTATTGTTAAGTTGATAAAAATGAAACCAGTGAGAGAGGTTAAATGAGGACCTGTCTTAAGCGGACGGGTTAGACAGGCTTGGTTTGTATCCACAAGAGTTTAGAAGAGTTAGAACTGACTTCGTCAATACATGTAAGATCTGAAGGCTGTTGACTAGGTAGATATGGAAAGGATGTTTCCTCTTGTGGGAGTATCAAGATAAAGGGATCCATCTTTAAAAATAAGATGCCACCCATTTAAAACAGAGGTGAAGCAAGCTTTTTCCCTCACAGAGGGTCATGAGTCTTCGGAACTCTGTTCCTGAAGAAGTGTTGGAATGAGTGTCTTTAAGCATTCTTAAGGCGAAGGTGGATAGATCCTTGGTAAACAAAGAAGTAAAAAGTTATCTAAGTCAAAGATGAGAGTACAGATTCGAGATTACAATCAGATCAGCTGTGATCAGATCATCTTAAAAAATTGAGGTGAATAGAAGATCAAACCTTAGAAGCTAGGATTTTGAAATTGCAGTTTTAAATATAATTGAAGATTAGTTTTTCCTTTGAACAAATATAGAAGAATGTGAATGGAAGGGGAGTGTAGGTAGAGGGTGATTAAAAAGAGTTGAGAGATGATCTTCTTTATTATTGATGTGATGGGAGTAGCAAGACACTGAGAGTTGACAAATCAGGGGCTGATCATGAGTATCTATTGGGGGATTTACATAGAGGTAGGCATTCAGGAGACATGGTGGCAGCAAAATCAAGATGGAGTTGAGATGGATGTTGAAAGCAGAGATTGAAAAGTCATTTGGTACAGAGACTGAGAGAGGAAAGTGGTCATGAGAACGTTTTTATTGTATTTTTGGGAGACTGTAGAGAATGAGGGCATTGAATGAGAAGTGGAAAAAGGTGCATTGCTTGATGGAGGAGAAATTGACATGAGTAAGATTCAGGCATGGGAGTGACCTTGTGGCTACACCACCACAATGATAGTTTTGATGGGGCAAGTGGAGGTAGCTATAACTTGATGGGTCTGGTTTGTTAAGAAGAAAGGTGTCATCAACCTTCAACTAGTTTTCCATTAAAACCATGATGTCAGTGCAATCATCCACTGTGTAATCATCTGCCGTATAATCATCTACCACGTTAGCAAATGGTGTTGTGTACAGTCACGTTCTAGGGATGAAAAGGTGGTGAAAGCCAAATCTGATTCATTGGAAGAGGTTGACATTGCTAACATCCTGTGAGTACTTTGTGTTTTGAAGGTGAGATAGTGGGTCACCTGGGGCTGCTGCTATTAATAGGCCAGTACCCTGTGTGAGGAGTGAAGTCTAGAAGCTAGTAATTAGTAAGGCACATTTAAGTAGCTAATGTCACTTGTGCTATTTATATTGTCCAGTTCCACAGTAATATAGTTGTTGTGGGGAAGCTGTTGGCCATTCCTGCCAGCAGAGTAGGAAATCCAATGGACATATCCTCATGAAAAGCCGGAGTTCTGGATTGATAACTTTAGATTATCAGGTTTTGCGTGCTTGTCTTATAACTGTGCCAATCAACTGGAATGGAGCTAGTTCACACTGAAGTCTGAAGTCATGGGCAAACCTACAATGACAGCTGCACAATGATCTCGACCTCAATGAGTAGGCACTGAGACATATTTAATGTGTATCAAACTGGCCTGCTTTACTGTCTTTTACCAGATAGGTCTTTAATGTTTAAAGATGAAAAGCCTAATAGTGGAAAGTGAAGCAGAGAAGACATCACTGATATGGTTTGCAGCAAAGTGGATAGCATGGGAAGGCTGTTGCTGCTTGTGATAACAAAGTCCAAGAACCCACTTTGCGTTGCGAATATCAAGACACTATCCACACACTGAGGCTAACAATTCTGCCTGGATAACACTAGCATTTTTGAGGTATGGTTTAGGAAATTGACAAATGTATCATTGGACGAAATGAAGATTATCACCCTCGTGACCCTGCAGAGTCTGATGGATGCTGTCCTGCTCATCTATCTGCTTTCATAGCTGAAGCCACAAAAGCCATAGAAATGCTCTGGGATTTCACATAGCAGCACAAAATGCAGAAAACATATTTGACTGTTATTGACGACATGGCAGATACATTTGAGTGCAGCACACTAAGCAGAAATAGATTACTGGGTTATTTCAGAGCTAACATGTAACATTTTCCAATGTCTTTTACTGTGGAAGATGAGGCAAGGTGTGAACAAATTTAAAAATAATAACATTTTTCACATATTTACAATATCATTGTATTGTCATTTTTTTAATCTAACGTAAAATGCATTTGTAGGCAAATTAAATTATGTAGGGTTATGTAGTGTAGTTATCTCAAAGCTCAGAGTAATATGAATTTGCGGGCAAGCCCCCTAGAGTTTGATTTACAGTGATTTTATTATATTTATATATATGTGTTAAATTATTTTTATCTTTTCTCCCTAATAGAAAACTCATCAAAGTGCACTTCAAGTACAACAGAAAGCAGAAGGCATGCTACAGGCTAATCACTATGATATGGAAATGATTCGGGAATGCGCAGAGAAGGTGGCTTCCAATTGGCAACAGCTCATGCTAAAGATGGAAGATCGGTTAAAACTCGTCAATGCCTCAGTTGCATTTTATAAAACATCTGAGCAGGTAAATCTAAAAGCCAAGAGCTTTTTTTCTTTTAATTCAAATATATGGCTACATTGCACAAGTAATAGTGACAGAAAGTCCTTTGGTAATTGCATTCTTCAAAAGCTAACACATTGAGTGGGAGGGAATATAAAGAGAGAGGCTGAATAATGCTGACATGTAATAGTGTAATTATCTCACTCAAAAATATTTAATAAAGCAATTGCTACCAATCTACTTTGCAAAATTAGAATAAGGGATGTTATCTTAAAACTTAGATTTGTTTATCCTGAAGTTCAAATATGACCAATTAAAATGTGAATTGTGATTCAATGTACTCTATTATTGTGGTATGTTGCTTTGTAGAGTAGTTGAAAGAATAGATGACATTGTTGGAGGGTTTGGTATTATTGCTCATAAACATCTAAAACCTTGCAATTTATTTTGTGGAGGAGGATCAAAATTAAAAAAAGAGTTCATTACTTAAGGACAAGGACATTCGCTACAGGGCCCATGGACTTATATGCCTTTCTCCCATTCTCAGAACTCTTCTGCCTGCTCTCGCATCTCTCCCCTCTCCATGTGTCTGCAAACTGATCAAAATTTTTCGGTATCCTAAAAGGCCCATGTTGTTTTTCTGGCAGATGTTGTTTTTGGATGAAATTATGTGAAGTAGGTTTTTATTCTGCAGTTTACATGATTATAGTTAATTTGTTTAACCAGAGACATTTTATTTCAGGAAATTTATGGAGCAAGTTATGAATGTTTTTGTTACAAATTAGTAAACAGTTGAAGGGGGATCATTCCAAAACAGAATGGAAGATCTCCGAAAGCAAAAAACTACTGGATGCTGGTAAACCTGACATAAAATCTCAAAATAATTCTAAAATTTCAGAAAAATGCTTTTGTACTTAACAGGTCAGCCAGCATCTGTGGTCAGGGAGAGAAACAAATGAATAGATAAGTTAGGGAGCAGGAGTGGGCCATTTATTAAGATTACAATTTACTTAGTTGTAACCCCAAATCCACCTTTGCCTTAAAAATATTCAGATCCTGCTTGTACTGCTTTCTTAGGAAGCAAATTCCAAAGACTGAACCCTCTGAGAGAAAGCATGTATTTTCATCTCTTGTTTTGAATGGGTGACCGCTTAAACAGTGAACACTCGTATTAGGTTCTTCCCACAAGACGAAGCATCGTTCCCACATTCGCCCTGTGAAGCCCGCTCAGGATTTAATGTTTCAGTGATGTTGCCTTTTCTTCTAAACTCCATAAATACAAGCCTAGCCTGTCCAACGTTTCTATATCAGATAGCTTACCCATTTCAGTTATTAATCTAGTAAACCTTTCTGGACTGCTTCCAATGTATTTACACATCTAAATAAGGAGAATGTACTGTACGTAGTACCCGAGATGTGGTTTCCCCCATGCCCTGAACTGAAACATGTTCTCTCTACTATTCAATTCCCCTTAAAATAAAATTATTTTATTAGTCTTCCCAATTGGTTGCTATGCTAGCATGATATCCTTTTTTGTTCATGCACTAAGGTAGTCACATCCCTATGCATCTTGGAGGTCTGCAGTTTCTTGCCATTTAGATAATATGTTCTTCTTTCTGTCAAAATGGGCAATTCCACATTTTACCATGCCACATCCATTTGACTTATCTTGATGCAGTCACTGAACTTATCTGTAATTCCAAAGTTAATGCAGAATCTTGTAGTTACGTTGATTTATGTCCCCATGATGGGATGGACATTGTTTGGACTTCTGCTAAGAAGTGGCTAGCTGACTAAATACTGAGTTTAAGAACCTGACTGGTTGTGCTGCAAAGCTGGGCAGGAGTGACTCCACCATTTCCTTAAGAGGTCAGAGGTCCAGAGACTATATTTAATATTCAACCAAAGAGGCATAAATTTACTATAACCTAGCAGCCTCAGCTTGACTGTATGAGTCCACATTTTGAATGTTCAGCTGCTACTGCAGGCTGATAATCTGACGTCCCTTCCCCTTAAAAAGATACAATTGCTGCTGCTGACCTGAACTCCATTCCTGTGGGGAGAGCCAGGGGAAGGTAATCTGCTGTTCTTACCTAATTTGGCTTACAGTTGTCTTTAAATACACAGTAATGTGGTTGCTCTTAACGGGTCTCTGATATGATTGAACAAGCAACGTTCATGGGCAGTGAGGGATGGACAACAAATGCTGGCCTTGCCAACGGCTCCCAGATTCCAGGAAAGAATATAAGAAATTCAGCTGTGGATGTCAGGGTTGCTCCAAGGGATAGTGTCAGAAAACATAAGCACAAAAGTTTCTAATGGCACAAATATGATTTGGGTATCCAGTTATTCCATGATATGGTACGTATATGTAATTTTAAGCATTCTATTTATGTGTGTTAATTGGTCATGAAATTAGATTGGGGCTGAAGGCATGATGTTTTATTGGAGCGCAGTGATGGCTTTTTTTTATATTTAATCATTTGTGGGATGTGGGTGTCACTGGTTGGCCAGCATTTATTGCACATCCCTAGTTGCACTTGAGAAGTTGGTGGTGAGCTGCCTTCTTGAACCGCTGCAGTCCACCTACTGTGGGTTAACCCACAGTGCCATTAGGGAGGGAATTCCAGAATCCACTGACAGTGAAGGAACGGCGATGTATTTCCAAGTCAGGATGGTCAGTTTGGACTCAATGTTTATTATTAAGCCTTGGAGATAGTAACAAATCATTACTACTTGACATGATGGTTTCTATGTTTGTCAGACTTTGTTTGCTAGGGGAACGAAACCTTGCTAGTAAGCCCCACCGTCTGATCAACCGTGGGAAATGCCTGCCATTGAGGCAGTATGTAACTTTTAGGTGAATGCAAATGTTCTTAGTCAGGCCTTGCCCATATTGGAATGTGTGTTACTGAGTCATATGTGATATATTTCTAATGTGTGAAGCTTTGGCAGGACCATGCATATGAACTTGTTCATGTCAAGAGCCTGAAGATTGGTATGGAGGGTATGTCTCAAATGTGGGAGCACTTTCACAGGCACGTTTCTTGATATACTGCATTGACTTCACTCTGGCTTAAATCAGAATGCAGTAAGGTCGTAAGGAACCTGTTTAGGAAATTACTGCAACGTCATGGCAGCTGCAGTTGGAGAAAACAATACTTCATCTCTGGTCTGCTGATTCTTCTCATTCAATCCACCTCCCTGGCTACCAATTCATTATCTCTTTGCTCTAAGTTAGGTAGGACAGAGCAATATTTGTGACATGAATTTTTGCTAATCACAAGCCATCTGCAAACTGATAAAATTAAACCCCTTCCTGTTAATGAAGGCTAATGGCTGTTTTCAGGGAGCTCTCAACAAGGAGTGGCCATTGTACTTGTGGAAATTCAGCTGTGGAGCAAAATGCAGCATTAAATACCAAATGGTTGTCTGGCTCTCGGGGTCCATGGTGAATTGTACAGAATCATTGGCCCTTTTGCACACGGCATTAGGGAGCATCCTTAGGCACCAGCTGATTGCTGAATGGAAGATGCCTCATATCCCTCATGGAACATGGAACATTGAACGACTCAGTGTAGAAATTCAAGACGGCACTTATTGTTAAGCCAGTGGGCAAAGTTTTCCTTCCTTTTCGTGAAACCACAGGCCTTCAGCAGGCTCTGATATAGGCCAATGAGTAACTGCTGTCAAATCCTTAACTGTCTTAACATTGCTATTCTGACATTTTCAGGTAGTTTTGATTGCGCGTCATTGCTCAGCATTACACTGGCCCTAGGTTGGCAGCATCAGGAGCTTCCTGACTCTTCGTTGCCACCCTTTCTCCAATGCCAAAGCTTCCCAAACCTTGTCCCCACTGTAGCCCAATTTTGAGGCTTGAAAATAGTCATACCTTATGATGAAAGCTGACAGGATGGTGAAGAAGATCTAGTTGAGTTAGCCATAATAAATAGAATAGAATCGAATAGAATTCCTGCGGTGTGGAAACAGGCACTTCGGCCCAACAAGTCCACACCAACCCTGAGAGCATCCCACCCAGACCCATTCCCCAAACCCACCTAATCTACACATCCCTGAACACTACAGGCAAGTTAGCATGGCCAATCCACCTAGCCTGCACATCTTTGGACTGTGGGAGGAAAGCGGAGCACCTGGAGGAAACCCACGCAGACACTGGGAGAATGTGCAAACTCTACACAGACAGTTGCCCAAGGGGGAATTGAACCCAGGCCCCTGGTGCTGTGAGGCAGCAGTGCTAACCACTGAGCCACTGTGCCGCCCAATAACTAGAAAAAGCTACAAGAGTGGGATTCGAACCCGTGTGCGCAGTGTGCAATGTATTTGTAGTCCGTTGCCTTAACCTCTCGGCAACCTCGTCACATAACCCCCGTGGGGTTACGGGGATAAGGTGGAGTTCTGGGTCTACGTGGGATGCTCTTTTAAGGGTCGGTGCAGACCTGATGGGTTGAATAACCTCTTCCTTCATGTAGGGATTCTATCATTATGGCAGTTGCAGTGCCCGGGCTCTGGGTCGGGTCATTGCTGATTTTTCTTTTTCTTTGCCACAGCATCAGAAATCCCTGGATCAGACCTGTTCTGTCTGCTTGAAGTGAACTGTGGGCAAAAGCTAAACAAAGCTCTAGTCTACTTTGCCTCCTTACTGACTGTAGACCAATGGGGAGCCCAGTGCTGCGCATTGACTGCATTCTGTTCTCCACCTAGCCCACTATAGCCAAATCCCTCCGTGATCTTGTTCCTGGCTACCTCTTCTGGCAGTCACAGATGTGTCTCTTGACAGTTGCAGTCTGGCACAGGTAGTCACCATCGTGCAGCCTTGTTCAGTTACCTTTAATGACACACTCCACCCACTCTCTTCAGTTTAGTGCTGTCTTGTGTAATACTCGAGCCACCCACCATCACCCTTGATCAATTCTCCATGACCCTAGAGCTGGCCACTGTCACTATCGAGCCACCATTACTCTGGCACCCGGAGCTGCACCCTCCCTAGGCACCAGTGACCTGCCAACCATCTTCCTTGGCCTGACTTCAAGTTACCCTCAACTCTGCCAGCCTTACTGTTGATCTGCTCTCTTTCAGTCTTGATTTTCCTTTCTAGTGTTCTTGAGGTGTCTTCAGTTGATGTTGATCCCCCCTCCATTGACCAGATTGCTCTGTGTCTCCTGTCACTTTTCTTCGGGCCACCACAACCCAACCTGTCTTCCTTAGACAGTCATTCCTGACTTCCCCAAGTGGCTACCACCTTCCCGTCCACGGACAGTCATGTTCCAATCTCCCTTGACAGTTGTCATCACACTTTTCCCTTGACAAAGGTAACCTTTTCCATGAGCAGTTTAATGTAACATTTCAGCTTTCCCTCCCCTGATCCAATACAGTTCTGAAAATGGCAAAAAGCAGATCCTTTTCACCTGAAATCTTCCAGGAAGAGTACTTTGCCTCCTGGAATTTAACCTGGAAGCACGTATTCCTTTGTGGCTGCTAATATAATTGTGTAGATGCAATTTAATCTGGCAAGCATGTGTTTTAATGAATATGCATAAATGCTAAGTTATTAAAACAAGTACTCACCACTTGCCAATCTCTGAAGCATAATGAGATTTTGCCCAATGTTTCAGGTCAGTGGAAGTCAGAGGGAAACATTTCAAGCCTAAAAATGATCCAATTTCAAGAGTTCTTATTTTTCAATTTGTTGGCATAGAATTTTCTCCAACGAATTATTGACCTTTTTTTTACAGTTTTTTTTTCATCAACAATGTTTACCTTTTGGGCTGTGCCCTCTTTTCCTTCTTATTGTATTATAGTCCTATAAATTCTGAATGAAACACGGAGCTAATTTCCCTAATCTAGGAGACCAGATGTAGCTAAACAGTCATATGCTTTAGGAGCATAATTGGGATCTTAACGCACCTAATGTAGTTGTGGTTTCTTTTCTTACTGATATTGTGATGGTGAAATAGACAGTGATTTGGCATGCTGATTGGCTAGCCTTATGCTTACAGTATGGAGGTGAGATACACTTCTGTTCTCGTTTGGGCTTGGGAAACTTGCAAACCTGTAAAATTCTCACTCATCTTCAGATTCAACTCTGAGAATGTCTTTGTTATTTAACTTCATATCCCAGATATTGGGATTGTTGTAATATGTGATCTGACATGAACTATGAAATCTTACTTTGCGCTTCTGATGCTATTCATTAAAGTAAAGTATTAACCTTTGAGCCTACAGAAATATCAGCTGTGGTCGATGTATAAAATTATGTGTTCGTTTTGTTCAATGTGAAGACAAAATAATAATTTCAATACTCAAATTTATGTTTAATATTTAATTTTAATAAGAAGTACCAGTGAGTTAGATGTATAATGTGCCATAAAATGCCTTGTATATTTCACAGATCAGTAATCCAGGCACAGTAATTTCATTTTGTTGCCATGCAAGATTTTGTTTGAATTAATAGGCTCGGGCTTTTTTCCCTGAAGCATCTGAGACTGAGGAGTGACCTTACAGAGGTTTATAAAATCATGAGGGGCATAGATAGGGTGAATAATCAAGGTCTTCTTCCCAAATATGGGTGTCTAAAACTAGAGGACATAGGTTGAGGGTGAGAGGGGAAAAGTTTAAAAAGGACCTGAGGGGCAGTTTTTACACACAGAGAGTAGTACATGTGAGGAACGAGGTGCCAGAGGAAGCGGTGGAAGCAGGTACAATTACAACATTTGAAAGGTATCTGGATGGTTACATGAATGGGAAGGGTTTAGAGGGATATGGGCCAAATGCTGACAAATGGGACTAGGTCAGTTTAGGATATCTGGTCAGCATGGACAAGTTGGACCGAAGGGTCTGTTTCCGTGCTGTCTAACTCTGACTATAATAACTGTTCATTTGGATTTTGCACATAGGTCTGCAGTGTTCTGGAGAGTCTGGAGCAGGAGTACAAACGAGAAGAGGACTGGTGTGGAGGTCTTGATAAGCTTGGTCCAAACTCGGAATGTGATCATGTAACACCCATGATCAGTAAACATCTTGAACAAAAGGAGGCCTTTCTCAAAGTAGGTGAAAAAAGCTGTCTATTTGCTCACTGTTAGTCATTTCAAATAGACATTCATCAAATGAAGAAGTATGATTCTGCCAGCAGCTCTAAATTCAGAAATAAACATGGAAAAGATAGCAGATACATTATTTAATACTTACATAAGAGTTCCACTCTCAAATGGACATTTCAACATTATTATTCTTGAAGTGAGTGACGAGGAGGGGAAGAATCAGTTATAATTTTATATTAGATTGAACCATCAAGTTCCAGGATGGTTCTGAGTTGATAGGGTAATTTAAAAACTAATTTTTGTGCTAAATTCCCCTTTTTGTGCATAGCACATTAGTTAAATGATTTCATGGAGCTATACAACTAAATGAAATTCAGCCATTTTGTGTTGCGATTTTAAAGAAAATTTACATCACAATGATGGTTGATTCATCAAATATAATTCTATGTCAAGGGATTATGAAAAACCACATGCTTACCTAAACTGAGAGAAAAGAAACATTGGAGGCATTGTTCAGAAATAGTAGAAGAGTGCTGCTGAGATCCCAATCTTAAATAAAATACAAAAATGTAAAAGGTTGAGATGAACATTTACATCAGATTCCTCAGGTACATGTTGGCTTGGCGAGCAAAGCCAAAAGTACACTGTATGGCTCGAGTACGACTAATTAAAGCCACACTGTTTAGTAACAGATCCCAATAACAGTCCAACCATCCATCTAGTTGAGCCTCCTTTATGAACTTTGATGCAAATGAGCAAAGAATCCCAACTCCTGGCAAAATGAAATAATTCACCATAGTCCACAAGGGACCATAAGAAACTCACTCCATTAGAGAAAGAATTGGTGATAAATACCTTGAGGAACACCAGTCCACATCAAGCATGGGACAAGATGAGGAGGCAGGCTTTCATAAAAGACCACAGTTAGCTCTGTCACTAAAATGGACACATACTATTACCATACTGGAATTAGCTACATATTGCAGTTTACGTTGTATCAGTCACTGTTTCTTGCTAGATGCTCATGTCTAGTGCTTTGTACCATTTTTGTTTATTAACAATTGAATCCAGATCTATATGTAAGGAGCTTTAATAAATTACCCCATGTGCCTTGAGGCTACTCCTCTTCTGTGGTATTTAATTTTTTTGTACAGTTTGCAATATTTAATCATTAGTAATCAAATATCATGTAAGCATGAATCAGTATAAGTGCTTAGCTATTTTCATAGATGGGCAACAGTAAGATTCTGCTTATGTGCAAAATTTGAGCTAACTTTACTTTTTTTTTGACTGAATTTGAGTTAACTTTTTCTTAAAGGCCTGTACTTTGGCAAGGAGGAATGCTGATGTTTTCCTGAAGTATCTCCATAGAAACAGTGTCAACATGCCAGGAATGATGAGTCACGTCAAAGCACCGGAGCAGCAAGTGAAAAGTAAGACCGCTTTTACTGCGGATCAAAACTAAGCCTTTATAGAATCACAGGCACTTGCGTCATAAAAGGAGGCCATTTGACCAACATGCCTCAACTAGTTCTTAGAGCTCTTTTGCTTGGTCCTTCACCCTCTTTTTCCGTTGATGACCCTGTGATTTTTCATCCATAAGTAACTGCCTCTCAACTCCCTTTTCAAAATATTTATAGCATTAGCTTCCACCACCTGTTTAGGTAAAATATTCCATTTCGCAATGCTCTCACTAGATCTTTTAAATCTATGACATCTAGTTATTAATACACTTAACCAGAAAGAAAAGCTTGCATTTGTCTAATGCTTTTTACAAGCACTGAACATCTCCAAGTATATTACAGCTTTTGAAGTGTAAAGCCACTGTTGTCCAGAGGACTGTATGGCTACTTTCTCATGAGAGAGAGAGAGAGAAAAATACGACTGGTTGTGGTTTAATCCGTGATTCACCACACTTTAGGAGAGTGGAGAGGTTGAGAAGGAGCGTCCTTGTTGGTAAATTCAGTCCGTGCACGAATTGAAACCAGCCTTCCAGACAACTGAGATAACCAACCCCCTTTTTTGAAGTGTAGTCACTATTTGTAATGTGGATAATTTAACAACAATTTATGCACAGCATGTATGCAGCAATATGATCATGACAAGTTATTCTTTCTTGATGATGATTGAGAAATCCGTACTGGCCAGGACACTGGGGATAACTCCGTTGTCATTCTTTAAAATTGTGCCATGGGATCTTTAACATCTACCCAAGTAGGTAGATGAGCCCTGATTTGTCATCCCATTCAAAAGCCAACTCCAATAGTGTCTTACTCCCTCAATTCTAGAATGTCAGTCTTAATTTTAGTACTCAGCTCCTGGAGTGGGATTTGAACCTGGAACCTTGTGACTGAGAGGCTGAGTCACAGCTAGTAATAGTCGAGAAAATAGTTTTTCTTCTATCTGCACTATCAGCAATTATTACATTGAGAATCTCAAAGAGAATCTCTTCCAACACTGTCTGTTTCAAAGAGAACAGTCCTAGCTTTCTTCCATATTGTCTCGTGACTTACTTGTGGTAACATCCTGTTAAACCACATTTCTGCCTTTTCTAAGGCCCATACATCTTTTCTGAATGTGGTGCTCAGAATAATTGGCAGTGCTCCACCTGAGGCTTCCATGATTTACAGAGTTCTAATATGATCTCTTGCTTTTTAAGAGTTTGTCTTATTCATTCTGTGAGATGTCAGTGTCACTGGCTGGGCCAGCATTTATTTCCCATCCCTAGTTACCCATGAGAAGGTGGTGGTGAGTTGCCGCCTTGAACTGCTGCAGTCCACCTGCTGTGGGTTGACCCACAATGCCATTAGGGAGGGAATTCCAGGAGTTTGACCCAGCGACGGTGAAAGAATGGCAATATATTTCCAAGTCAGGATGGTGAGTGACTTGGACAGGAACTTGGAGGTGATGGTGTTCCTGTGTATGTACTGCCCTTGTCTTTCTAGATGGAAGTGGTCGTAGGTTTTGAAGGTTCTGTCTGAGGATCTTTGGTGAATTTCTGTAGCGCATCTTGTAGATAGTACACACAGCTGCTACTGAACGTCAGTGGTGGAGGGAGAGGATGCCTGCGGATGCAGTGCCAATCAAGCAGGCTGCTTTATTCTGGATGGTGTCAAGCTGCTTGAATGTTGTTGGGGCTGTTCTCATCCAGGCAAGTAGGGAATATTTCATCACACTCCTGATTTGTAGATGATGGACAGGCTTTGGGGAGTCAGAAGGTGAGTTACTTGCTGCAGTTTCCTGGCCTCTGACCCACTGTTGTAGCTATTGTATTTATGTGGTGGGTCCAGGTGACTTTCTGATCAGTGACTCCCAGGATGTTGATAGTGAGGGATTCAGTGATGATAACACCATTGAATGTCAAGGGGCGGTGGTTAGATTGCCTCTTATTGGTGATGGTCATAACCTGGCATTTGTGTGACATAAATGTTACTTGCCACTTGTCAGCCCAAGCCTGGATATTGTCCAGATCTCATTGTATTTGGACACAGACTGCTTCAGTGTCTGTGGAGTTGGGAATGCTGCCGAACATTATGCATTCATTGGGGAACATCCCCACTTCTCACCGTATGACGGAGGAAAAGTCGGTGATGAAGCAGCTGAAGATGGTTGGGTCGAGACCACTGCACTGAGAAACCCTGCAGAGATGTCTTGGGGCTGAGATGACTGTCCTCCAACAACCACGACCATCTTCCTGTGTATCAGGTATGACTCCAACCACTGGAGAGTTTGCCCCCTGATACTTATTGATTCCAGTTTTGCGAGGGCTCCTTGATGCCACACTCAGTCGAATGCAGCTTTGATGTTAAGGGCTGTCACTCTCACCTCGCCTCTGGAATTCAGCTCTTTTGTCCATGCTTAAACCAAGGCTGGAATGTGGTCAGGAGCTGAGTGGCCCTTGCGGAGCCCAAACTGGGCATCACTGAGCAGGTTATTACTGAGCAGGCGCTGCTTGATAGTACTGTCAATGACACCTTCCATCACTTTACTGATGGTTAATAGTAGACTGGTGCGGTAATTGGCTGGGTAGGATAATTGCCATACAGCATAGGAATAGGCCGTTTGGCCCACCATGTCTGTTGGCCAACAAACACAAAACTACACTAATCCCATTTGCCTGCACTTGGTCCACAGCCTACTATACACTGGCATTTTAAGTGCTCATCCAGATGCTTCTTAAATATTTAGATTATTTGCCTCTCCCACCCTCTCAAGCAAGCATGTTCCAGATATCTACCACCCTCTATATGAAAAGTTTTTAGAATCATAGGATCCCTACAGTGAGGAAACAGGCCATTCGGCCCAACAAGTCCACACCGCCCCTCCGAACAGCGTCCACCCAGACCCATTCCCCTACTCTTTCCCTGTAACCCAGCAGTTCCCATGTTTTTTTTCTCAGATCTCCTCTAAACCATTTGTTCCTCACTTTAAACTTATGCCTTTGGTCTTAGACACATTTGCCTTAGGGAAGAGATCATAGAAATCATAGAATCAATATAGAATCCCTACAGTTGGTACAGGCCCATTGGCCCAACAAGTCCACACTAACCTTCAGAGCATCCCACCCAGACCCAATCCCCTATAACCCACATAATCTACACATCCCTGAGCACTATGGGCAATTTAGCACGGCCAATCCACCTAGCTTTCACATCTTTGGACTGTGGGAGGAAACCAGAGCACCTGGAGGAAACCCACGCAGATATGGGGAGAATTTGCAAGTTCCACACTGACAGCCACTTGAGGGTGGAATCGAACCCAGGTCCTTGTCACAGTGAGGCAGCGTGCTAATCACTGAGCCACCATGCCGCTGTCCTCACGATACTCTATCAATGCCTCTCATGGTTTTGTAGACCTCAGGCAGATCCTTCCTCAGTCATCTCTGCAAAAGGAAAACAAACCTAGCCTATCCAGTCTCTCCTCACAGTTGAGACTTTCCAGGTAACATCTTGGTGAATCACATCTTGGGGCAGCACAGTCATTCAATGGTTAGCACTGCTACCTCACTGAACCAGGGACTGGGGTTCAATTCCAGCCTCAGGCGACTGTCTGTGTGGAGTTTGCACATTCTCCCAGTGTCTGCATGGGTTTCCTCCGGGTGCTCCAGTTTCTTCCCACAGTCCAAAGATGTGCAGGTTAGGTGGAATGGCCATGCTGAATTGTCCATAGTGTCCAGGGATGTGTAGGTTAGATGGATTCACCATGGTAAGTGCGGGGTTACAGGGACAGGATAGGGTAGGGGACAGGATCTGCATGGGATGCTCTTCGGAGGGTACGTGTTGACCCAGTGGGCTGAATGGCGTGCTTCCACACTGTAGGGATTCTAGCATTTTATGATTCTACCTCTGCGCCCTCTCCAGCATGATCACGTCTGACAACCTACCATTCATTGGGTATATCCTTCCCTTATTAGACAAAATGCATCACCTCACAGTTATAAGAATTAAATTCCTCTGCCATTGCTCTGGCCAATTACTAGCTGATCAATATTGAACTGTAGACTGATACCATCCTCCTCACTATCAACAGCATCCCCAATTTTCATGTCATCTGCAAACTTAGGAATTAAACCTTCTACATTTACATTCAGGTCATTAATGTACATAACAAACCGCAAGGGTCCCAGCACCGATCCCTGTGGTACACCACTGGTAGCAAGCTTCTAATTAGAAAAATAACCCTCCACCGACACCCTTGTCTCTTATTTGTAAGCCGGTTTTGGATCAAGTTTTCCAACTTGCCTCAGATCCCACGGACTCTTCCATGTGGAACCGTGTCAAAGTCGATTTAAACCTCATCAAGTTCACTATTTAGTGAACTTTTCAAAAAAGCTCAAATTAGTTGGACAGTATCTCCGTCTAACAAATCTGTGCTAACTATCCCTGATCAATTTTTGCCTCTCCAAGCATTCACTAATCTTGTCCTTTAGAACTTTTTCCAACCCATTTCTCGACCATTGACATCAGACTAACTGGTTTCTAATTACTTGGCCTATCCTTGCTGTCCTTCTTGAACAAAGGAACCACATTAGATATCCTCCAGTCAGTGAAGTACTAAGCATAAGTTTGAGAAGACTTTCAGATCCCCAGATGCACTGCAGTGACTAGCTGGGCCCCATGGTCCAAAGTTCAGAGCTTGAGATCAAATAACTGGCAGAGCTTTTAATATACTTTATTCAGGATGCATGAAATGTTTTGGAGTTCCGATATAGAACAAAGTATGCATGCACCAGATCTTTGCTGTCTTGCCGTAGTAGGCGGTCCACAATGTAAAATCACTGAGACTTTAACCACTAAAACACTTGATCACAAATTTTAAAAATCTAAGTAACTGATATTGAAGACATTGAGACACTGACTTCTAAAATGCAGAAAACTGGTCTCTGACGCATTCAAATAGTGAACTCTTAAGTAAAGACGCTGGTTGACTCAAA